GGCGGAGAGGATGGCGAAGGTGCAGAGGGAGGAGGAGGCGAGGAGAAGCGCGGCAGGAGGAAGGACGAGCGGGCACGAGGATCGTAGACGATTCGACGATCATAGAAGGAGGCAGGACACGGGTCTTATTCCGGCCTATTTGGTCTTGAACAACTCGAGGAGGCCCGTTGTTGAGCGCGCGAGACAAAGGCAGGAGGAGGTGGAGAGGAGGAGGCAGGAGGAGGCGAGAAGGTAATGAAAATTCGGACGAAATAACAGGGAGTGGTTATATTGAATTATGAGAAATTCGGTTATTTGTTACAGGGCTTATTTCAATCCCTTTCTGTTCCATTAGAATTGCTATATATTTATTTATTTTTCCCTCGAATTTTTTGATATTTTATTCAAGAATATATCTCCAAGTATGATTACGTTCCATTAACGTAAAAATAAGTTATAAATAATTTTTTAATAAACTGCTCTTTTAAGAAATTTTACAGATCCGAATTATTTTTTACACTGTGTAAAACGTGTATATATATATATATACATATATAAAATGTAAGAGGAAAGTTGCTCTAATTTATTATCTCTATCATGCTCTAAGTTGGTAAGTTTCTAGAGAGAATATTCCATGACGCAATAGATTTTCCTAGGCGATAAATACTCCAGACAGAGCCCACACGTCGGCCCTCTTACTAATATTTATGATACCACGGCAACCCTATAACCTTAAAGCTTGACTTTCGGAATGTTTCTCATCGTTATAGATCATTTCCTTGAAATAGTTGTTTTGCTATCATTCTTGCTGCATATCTCCTCTACGATAAATTTACATCACCTTTTTTTTTTTCCAATATATCCTTTGGAATGATATATATATTTTCTGGACTATATTCGAAAATTTTATTTAATTTTAATTTATCCACCTATTAGAATAAAAATCTTTATCTTGTCAACTTTCTTATAATTAATCGAATAATTTAAAAATATTAAATTATGTTATTATTAAACAAAATTTGCAAAGGTGTAATAAAAAGAATTCTTAATTTCGATTGTCGCAGGATCCAATATTATGTCGTGTTCAACATGACACGCAATGGTATCTGCTATTTATTCAAACCTGCAAACACAATCTCGCGTGCGTAACACTTTCCATGGCCACAATAAATGACTTATAATTATAGGCTACTATAATTGAAAAGAATCGAGCTTTGCTGATTTTAAGAGAGAACTTTAATATTTCATAGTTAAAACGATGCATAAAAAGTTAACAGATTCCAAGATAAAATATCAGAAGAAATAAAGAAATCTATTCTCAACGTAGATATTAAAAAAAAAAAAATACATCAAATTTTCAATAAAATTCACTTAAGATTACTTAAAGATTAGAAAACAAAAGAACTTTCTCTCCCAAAAAAATTTCGTATCAATTTTACGATATAAAATTTATATTGCGGTAAATATAGCGTTAATATACGTGTACATCTCTGTCGAATACGAGAAAAAATTCAAAGCCCTGAATTACGCGATACAGAGACTAGCTAACGTGTTAATTACAACGGTGGCGGGTCGAAAAAGGGTGAGACGAGTTGCCGCCAGTTATTGCATCCCATAAGATCCATCTGCGACCGCCACGAAGATAAATATTCAGCCATGAGAAAAGCTATCCGACAATTTCGTCGTCTGGCCATATTCTAGAGGCAGTCGGTTTAATGAAACAAACAGCCGCTTGGCGGCGCACAATGAGCTTCCTTTTTCGGTCTACCGATGGTGTAACGAATGTGTCTCGTTTTATTCGACGCAGGGCGAAGGAGGCGAGAGAGAGGGAGGAGCGCGACAGGATCATGAAAGAGCAGTGGAGACGACAGGAAGAGGCGAGGTTGAACGCGTTGCCTGTGAGCGCGAGAATAATAGTCCAACCTCAAAAGCCTAAGGTGATACCGAGGATAGGAGAATTCGATTTCCCGGTAAGATATCCATTTCCTCAAAACGTCGTTCCAGTTACAAATGTAATTGTGTCTCCAACTTTGAGCGTAACACCGCTGATCCTCAACATCCTTGTTTGTAAGAGAAGGTAAAGCTTCTGAAGCTGCGCTTGGGAAAGGTTAGGTTATGTGAGATTGAAGGCTGGCGTTTCAAGAAAGTAGTATATTTTGACAGTAGAATTGGTTTGATTGTTGAAATGAAATAGTTTAAGAATGGTAGACTTGTTAAGAGGTATTTGAAAAGATAACTTGTACTTGAAATATAACTTTATGCTTGGAATAGAAATATTGTTCCTAAAATAATAGACAAGATGAAAATGGCTAACTTTATATTTTCTAAAACAACTAGTTAAAGTGGGCAAAACAAAAATTGCTTTTGGTACTTATTGAAATATATAAAATGTATTTATAATATAATTTTATGTTTGGATGGAATGTATTTCAAATATTAAATATATGTGAAATTGAATTCAAAATATTTTTATTGATAAAACTGAATCTTCTACTTATTTTTTGTTTAAAACTTAAGTTTAGTTCAGCTCACATCATCACCCAAAGGATTCATGAAAAATAAATTTCACAATTAAAAACAACTGAGTTTTACTCTTAAATATATATCCACATTTTTAGTTATTAACCTTCCAATTAGTGAACATTAGATTGAAATGTTGAAAAAAATTCAAAAAATACAATATTGCATTCATTTTAAATGTTCCAACAAATTATATCAAATTGTCAATGTCTATAACTTCCAATTAGAATTTTATTTTTTTAGAAGCAAGAAATATTAATCGCTATTTCTGTGAATGTTGAAGCTTTGCATTCTCTCACATGTTCTTCTACAAAAATTCGATGAAGCGTTAGAAAAATGAAATTGAATCGAGACAAGCGTGGTTAGTATCGATTGGTAATGGAAGCACGTGATCATTAAAGCTGAAATAATTGCGCACCGGATACGTGCAAGCAAGCAACGTGTAATAACTTACTAGCATATGTTCGTGATCTGAATTATTACAACTCGTAAAAGGAGTAGATAGAGGGATTATAAATTTTGTGTTAATCATAAATTAAGGGGGTGAGAATAGCTACTATGTTGCATGGAATGAATATATATGTATCGTTAATATATTTTACAGCACAGAATTTAGAAATCTTTAGAATGAAAAGATTATTTCTTTTTTTTTTTTTTTTTTAAGATATATAAATTTCATCGAAGAAGATAATTCCTATGGGAAAGTTTAAAATAAAAAAAAGTTAAAGTTTCTGAATATTACAGTTGTTCGTTATTCTTTTTTAGATTACATTATGAAATATAGTAGAGATAAAATAAAAAATAAAAACGATTTATGAGAGAAATTATCATAAATATTACTTTTTCCTGCTACGTTCTATAGAAAATTATTTTAATGGAACAGTTAATCTCAAGTTTAAGGATAATATTTATCATGAATTATAAAGTTGGAAATAATTATGTCAATGTAAGCTAATTAATTATTACAGCTCCACAAATTACATATTAATATAATATAATAATTATTTATAGAATATTTTCTTCACATATTTGGATTCTTTTTAAAACAGATTTACTCGTCCAATATTAACACAGAACACAGAAATAAAGTAATTTTTGATACTTCTAATCTTAGAGTTGATATATTTAGACTTTTTCCTTCTATTTCTTAAACAGAAGCCATAAATAAAAATTTTACTCGTTTATTCTAATACTGAATATCCTAAAAATTGTCTACCTAATCAACAAATAGACTTATGCTATTTTTAATGCACAAAAATAAAACTCACTTCATCCTCAAAATATATAAGGATATCCACTTGCTACCAACTTCTGTTTCTTTGCAGGGAGCTAATCCATATCAAAGAGGAGTACAATTCCCCAACTTCCCAGCCCCACCCACTCGACGACCACCTGTAAAAAGTCCCCCGCCCTGCGTCTGGGCTGTTATCCAATGTTGTCCATCGAATCAACGTCTGGTCACATGTTTCGAGTCCTTGGGCTGTCCAGGTGTCAATTGGGATTCGAATCCTTGCAGAGATAGCGTCTCTCAAGCTGCTAGGGCACAGGTGGAGAAATTCTACAGGGAAACCGAGGACGAGGAGGAACGTTATTGAAAGGAAACGAGAAAGTGTAGATTCCATAGATATTTTTAGTACATTTTGGTGAGGAGCATTTCTGCGAGTAGGTCGAAAAATTCAACCATCAAAATTTGGAATTTGAAAAATTTTTCGATTAAATAGTTATTAATTATTGGACGAACAATATCAACAAGTGGAATTCGATGAAAAAGTGATTTTCAAAATTTTAAGAGCAATTTCGTAAAAAAATTTTTTTATTAAAAAGTAACCATCAATTATTAGTAAATAATTGTTATATTATATATAGATGAAAAATTTAATCCATTAGCTCTATGATATTTTGATAAAAAAATCGTTATGAAGGAATAATACATATAAATAAGGAAAATGGAAACGTAATTTCGTTTTCCAACAAGTTATAACATAAAGAATTGTTATTATCATAAATTTTCGATCAAATTTTTATTAAACTTGCAACTTCGTTCGAGAAGAAAAGTAATTCGATCTACCGAGTGCCCTCATCAATATTTTTAAATAACAAAAATAACCTATGACACGTTGGAAGAAGAGCGCCGCTTGTGTTCTTCGTATTCTTAGAACGTAAAGACGTTTATAATACGATAGATCCGCTATTTTTCTATTCCGCTTCTATCAGATCGTCGTTGCACGACACGAGCCTTTTTAAATATAACAAAGCGAACGATTGCGCCAACAATGATTTCGAAATCATCGTTGCATTGTTCTCCTTATGAAATCGATGGATCAGAAATTTGGCGAACATTTTAAAATTTTTTTTTTTTTTTTTTTCTTTTTTCTAGAAGTCGTTTCGATCGCTCTTCAGAATATAAAATATTTCGCGAGAGTTTCGAAATATACATCGAAGCGTGGAAATAAAAACTTCGAGAAAAAGTAAAACAAAAAAAAAAAAAACTCGAGCAATTGTGAAATGCTTTGTTAAAATATTCAATGAATTTTAATTATAAAATATAGCGTGCAGTATTTGCCCGGAATTTTTTCAGCTCTGATGAAAGCTCATTTCCTGACGAATTATATTTCAATACCATCTTGTACGTACATTTGCTAAAATTTTAATACATCAGTTCTCATCGTGTGTTAAAATTTAATATTCTGTAATTTTCAAATTTGTTTTACTATCTGGCAAAAAAGAATTAATTTTAATTGTCTATTTATATGCAAGAAGAGTAATTTTCTTATTCCAAAATAAGATACACATGTTTACAATAATAAGGTAAAAAGAAAAAAATGTATATAAGAATATTCGACACAATAACATCTTAAATCAACTTTCGTGTATTATATATCTTGGATAAATCGGTTTGACCGGCTAAATAAGCAATAACAAGATCCATTAAATCGTTCCATGCCCTCGATAGAAGGACCAAACGAAACAGGAATCGTTCTGCTTTACAGAGCTTGATACAATTCCGGGAGGGAGCCAATATTCAACAGAGAGTAACTGATCGTTTAGTATTGGCCGGTTGCCAATTTCGGTGCCGAGTCGGTAGCGTGTAAAAATATAGGTGTAAGAGAGAGAGGGAGAGTGAAAGATACATAGAGTATGCGCGAATGAGAGAGAGAAAAAAACGCGACATATGTTCACGTCATAGACGCACGTGCTATTAAGCATGTTCGCTTTTTGCGTTTAACGAATGTAGAGTTATTAACTGTACGTATTTTGTCTTTTTCCCTCTTGTACGTAGTCGTCGAGCTATATTACCGCAGCTTTCTCACATGTGATATAATAGATAGGCTCTTAATTAGCTGTAGCTGTAGTAGTACGTATTTATCTCTGTAAGAGGAAACGACATTCGACGAGTATTATTATTGCGGATCGTGTCAAAAATTGTTCCGAAAGTTTGTATATTTTTGAAAGGTGTTTAGAATTATTTTGGGAGGAGGATTTATTTTACTAGCAATATTTGTGAATTTTCTTTGCACTTCGTGTGTATACATGTATATTTGCACGAAAGAAAGAAAGTATAATGGAACGTGTATAGTAAATTGTGCAAGGATAGTGTCAGGATACTTTACTGCCGTTTCCTTAGTTAAAAGGAGGTTTTATTTTTTTTTCTTTGTAACATTATTGTTGGGAGAAATGCGCAGATTTTGAATCTATAAAAACACGTATAAGTATTTTAACTCTATTTGAAAAGAAGAAAAGAAGTTCAAATTAAAAAATTTCAATTTGACACATCAATTTTGAAGACATTTCAATATAAAATTGTCCGATATATGGAAAAATATTAAATAGAATATTTTAATTAAAGACTATAGATTTTCTAAAAAAAGCATGCACAGAACTTTTTAATCTTTTTTGAATTTTGAAATTTAATAGAATTTCAAATGTTTCAATACAGAAGATTGAAAAATAAATATTTCAATATTGTAAAATTTTTCAGTATATGAAAAATTGAAAAATGGAAAAATACTATAAAACCTTTTAATTAAAATCACTATAAATCCCTAGAAAACGTATATTACATACATAAAAAAAATGTATAACTTCGAACATTTCAATATATGAAAAATGAATATTTTAATACGTAAAATTTTTATAATATATATATATAGAAAATTGAGGAACAGAAAAATTTTAATTAAGGAAGGCAGTTTGGTCGACCATTATCCCAGATGGAATATTTAATTTCTTGTTTTGATTGATATTTTAAACAAGAATAAGATCGATATTTTTCTACTTATTGAAAAAAAAGAACGTGTAAAAATATGTGGTCGAAGTAATGAAAAAAGGATTTCAGAGATTTTAGCTCGCTGTAACATATATTTAACATTTAACTATGTAATATACGTAATGATTCTTTATAAATACGAATATCTAACGCAATCTCAAGTGTGTTATTTTTTTCATTTTTCGTTAATTTATTATTATAAAAAAAAGGTATGTAAGTATATATAAATATCACGTCACTATAATATAAATTTAAATTTTATTTAAAATATTGGTTCGTTGGTATTTCCAATATTTAACAGAAATATTTAAATGAAATGATTTAAATCATCTTGTATTTAATAATATATAATGCATTAATTCGAAAAGTAAACTATTTATATGAAACTGTTTCCTCTCGAATAAAACTGGATATTTTGTGAAAAATCATATATATTTATGTACGATAAGAAATAAATCCAAACAAGATGATTATTTGATTTAAAAAATTTAACAAAAAAATGTTCATTAAATAAAATTGCCAATTACATTTTTTTTCATAAGCAAAAATATTTGATTAATTTTTTAATGCAAAAATATAAATATCTTGTTATAGATTATTAAAAATATAAATAATATTTGTTCAACATTTATTATTCAGATTTGGCCAAGTTTTATAATTTAAATAAGAAAAAGTAATGAAATATTAATGCAATATAATAAAAAATTATTTTATTATATTATTTTACAATAATACCTTATTATTCTGCAATTTTGTTTGCACAGATTTAAGTTATACACAATTTGTGCATACACGTTATTAAAATCAATTTTTATTTAAATGAAATTAATACCTAGAATAAATTTACATTTATCCTTATTTTACATCAAAATTGCAACTTGATGTAAAGTATTTTTTATCATAAAATGAGTTTAAATTTAAATATATTTAAATATAACAATAAATAAGAATAATTAATTGTAAAATAAATTACATTTAGATCAAATTTTTACGTACAATAAATTTAAATTTGAAAAATAAAAAAAGATGATAATATATTTAATCGTAAATCACGAATTTTATTATCCGCCTTAAAAAATAACTATTTCTTCACTTACAGAAAGCGCGCAGTGAAATAGATCAACGCTTGGCGCGACGAAAGTTTTTAAAATTCCTCCTCTTTTTCCCAGGGAGTTGGAATAATCCCGCATCCTATCGGACGCGAAATAGGCATTGCCTGTTGAGAAGTAACGTGACCAGAAGGTCGAACAGAAGAATTTGTTTTCTTCCCATCCTGCACCTTCTAAAACCACCTTGGACGTGATCGTCCCTCCGGGTAACCGATTTCTCTTCAATTTGTAATTTCACTCTCGGCTTTAGTAGATTTGTTACATAATCATTACTTTCTCCTGAATCCCTGCTCGAGTTTCAGACTTTCAATTACAAGCGAATATTCTTTTTTTTTTTTTTTTTTTACAGGATTGACCGTTTTATTCGAAGTGAAATTTTCTTGGAAATTTTTTAATCGAATTTTCATCGATCATTCTAATAGAGATGAGATATTTTTATACCTGTTAAATTAGGGCAGAAATTTTTTTTTTGAAATTGTGACGTGAAAAATATTTCCATCCAATACAACGATAAACTTATCATATTTAATTATTTATGTTTCGAGTTATATTTAATTATTAACTCTGTAACTCTATAACTTTAACTATATCAATTTTGATCAAAGTTGAGGATCACTTTCGGGGAACCTTTGAGAAACTCGAATCCGCAAGAATCGACCGCGAAACCTAACCTCAAAAATATCACAAACTATGCCCGCCCAATGTTCCAGACGAAGTAACCCATCATGGTCGAATCTAGACACGCAAACTTCGTCATATTCGCTCGATAAACCAATGTGTGGAGTTTAGGTGTCTCGTTTCATCCCGTGCCGCGTTTCTGACATACTAATTGCGGAGCAATACCCCGCAACGGTAACCGCACAGTTCATAAACGTATCCCTCTCTGGCATAATTACCGAATTTGCATGGAGAGGGCGCGTCGAGCGGCGGTCGTTTTCACGAAATTACCGAAACTCCTCGTAACCAGAATTCGTAGAAAATCCTCGAAAACGTGCAACGACAACAATTTAACAACTCACAAGTGAAAAAAATGAATGGATTACCGTTTTTTTTTTTCTTATTTTGTAATTTTATCAAATTAAATTTCGTCGTCTTCGATCCATAATTTTCGAAAATATCATTCAAAATTTTTAACATTTAAATAACAATTAATCATATAAGTCCAAATATATATCATTTAATAAAAATATGTAATATGTAATATTTTTTATATTCTGCTTCATTCGACGCGTTCCCTACTCTGCATAAAAAAATATTCCTTCGAGGGGGAAATAAAGCGATTTAACGCCCAAAATGATACAAGTTTCCTCGGTTTCAAAGGCTCGAAGACAAAAAACAGGAAAAATCGGCCGACAACGTCCGCGGTCGCTGATTTTTCGGCATTTGCATCCGCCTCGCGTCCTCTTCGCACCGTTTTCCTTTTCCACCGTAATGGCGGTCGATAACGAGGACATTCATCGGCGAAGGACTCGCGAACTCTTTCCTGTCCAATCAACCACATTGTTATTGCCGTCGAAAATACCTCCAACGGCGCCATCTTGTCTTGTCCGCAAAGCTAACCAAAAGGGAATAATCCGGCTACTATTCAACCCGGTCGTCCTCCACGATCTTCGTTTCGTGTTATATACAAAATGCTTCTGTTTTATCCGAAATTTCTTTTCCAAAGGAAGGAACTTTACGAAAATTGTATATTTTTGTAAAAGTCTTTTTATTCGGTTTAAGAAAACGCATATTTATTGTGCAGTATTAATAATTTTTCTACGATTAATTATAATTTTTAATGCATCATTCCTTACACGAAATTCATAAAATCTATTATGTGAAAAATAAGAAGATTCTACGACGTGTAATATTTATAATATGTGTAATATTTATAATACTTTTTAAGAATACTTTCCTCGTAATAGTCTTTCCTTAAAAGATATTCGGACAAAATAAACGCTTTGTATAATTTGATTTGTTAGAATTTATTCGATCTTCGTTTCTGGCAATCGATCGAATGCATTGATCAGTAGAGCAGGTATAATTACATCAATGTGTGTGTTTAATCGCGAGAAGAAAAATGTGCACAGATGGGGTAGTTTGAAATGATCTGACG